GCTGATTTCTTAAGACATTTACTTGAGTGTTGTAAGCAACTTTTTTGTAACGAAACAATTTCACCTTAAAATTGGCCCCACGTACCATAAGCTGGTCTAGGGAGTCTACCATTTTATGCTTCTGCTACAAACTGGCATGAAAAGAATTTGACAAACATCTTGATTCAGAAGCTTGCTACGTGTGTAGGACCTCCCATACATGTCTGGAGTTCTAATGTCTCAAGGGGCTTTTCCTGCCATGTCCTCAGCAACTCCAAAACTACGCTGCAAAAGAGAGACCTACCTTCCATCATGCAGTGCTGACAAATCCCTTTGATTACCCAGAGTTCTGTGTGTGCATTGGGGTGTCCATAGAGTTGGGAGCAGAAGTTAGGCTCAAGGAGAACCCAGTATGTGTCGTACACTAGCTCTGACACTGTCTGATAAATCTCACTTTAGGCAAACTTGTTCAGTCAGAAATGTCTGAAATTCACTGAGGTTTCAGGGAAGGCAAACTATGCAAGATCATTTGGGGGCACTGCTGGCAGCTGATTGAGCATTCCTGGGTTTACAGGCCCAACATGATATTTCAGGCAGCTCTTGCCTCCCTCCCTTTTAACCTGTCGCTGAGAGTCAAGGCACTAGGTAAACAAGAGCGATTTCAGCCTCGCACTGTGCTGCTTTCCACAGCAAGTGGTCATTTGTTCCAGTTTCCCATGACCGCATGATTGCTTGGGATTGCTCTCCAAAAAACACATTGATTTGAAGCATGAGACTTCATAACCAAGGAAGGGGAAATGAAAAGACAATGCTATTTACTCCACGTTATAGCAAAAGTAGTAAACTATCTGCTTTGCATGCAAGAAATCCCAGATTCAATTCCCAGTATCACCAGGTAGGTCTGGGAAGGACTTCTGCCTGAAATTCAAGAGAGACGCAGCCAGTCAGTGTATGGTATGGTTTGTTATTCTTTATTAAATTTGTATACCACCCTTCATCTGAAGATCACTGGGTGGTTCACAACACAAAAATATAATGAGGACGCAAAATACATAATAAAACAAAAACAAACCAAGAAGCCACCTCCCCAAAACACATTAAAAATGTCATAGAATGTTAATCAGCCACAGGCTTGGTTAAAGAGAAACATTTTTCCTGGTGCCTGAAGATATGAAATGAAGAGAGAGCATTCCACAAATGGAGAGCCACCACAGAAAAGGCTTGTTCTACTGTTGACACCCTCTGGACCGCTTGTGGAGGAGACACATGAAAAAGACCTTAGATCAGTGTTTCCCAACCGGTGTTCCGCGGCACACTACTGTGCCGCGAGACGTTGCCTGGTGTGCCGTGGGAGGGAGGCGGGCGAGTCGCACGGCGTCTCGGCGTCGGGCGGCAGCGAGCCCAGGAAGCGGCCCAGCCGGCCAGGGTCGCCCGCCTGCAGCAGCGCCTGGCACCCGCACGAGACCTGCTCCGCCGAGAAGCGGGCGAGCGCGGAGGATCGGGCGCGGCGGAGGCCAGCCCCGCGCTTGGAGAGGACGCAGCAGCCGTCGCCAAACCCGATCCTCCTCCTCCTGCTCCGCCGCCGTCCTCTGGCTCTCGGCCGGGAGGAGCCTGCGGCGACGGGGCGGGCGCCGAAGTTGGCAGAAGTTGGCGCGCCTCCTCGGCAGCGCCTTCGTCCTCCTCCTCCTGCCTCTGCTCTCCTCTGGCGGCGGGGGAAGCCGCCCTCCCCGGCCGGGGGGCTCGGCGGGGCCCGCGGGGAAGGAGGCCATGTTCGCGGCACGCGGGATCGCGGCCCCCCTCGCCCGCCTCCGGCCCGCTCCCCTCCCCCTGCGCGCTGCCCTAGCCGTGCGGGTCTCCTCCCCCTGCGCCGCCGTCCCCTTTCCACATCCTAGGAGCCGCGGTCCGCCTACCGCCCCCGGGCCGCGGTGCGGCTCCCAGCCCGGGCTGGCCTCCGCCTCCTGGGACGCGCGCCCACCCCCGCGGCCCCCCAAACTTCGGAGCAACTCTCCAGACGCTTCTCCCCCGCCTCGGTCTCCCTCCTTTCCACTTCTCTTCCCCCCTTCCTTCCCTCTTTCTTTCTCTTTCTCTCCCACCCGCCTTTCCTTCTATTAACTTTCCTTTCCCCTCCCTTCGTTCTTCCTACTTTTACTCCTGGGCTCCTCCCCCTTTGCGCAGCCACAAATCAATCTCTCTCTCTTTTTTCCCCTCTCTCTCTTCTTTGCTCAGACGCAAAAAAGCGCCGCTTTTTGGAAATCCGGACTGCTGTCCCCGCTGAAACGATACTTTAAAAAAGGAAGAACCCACTGGCTCTTATTTCTGTTTAAAGCAGTAGATCCCGAACTCTTTTGGCCCACTGCCCCCTTGGTTCCACATCCCCCAGTGTCCCCTATGCTTACTCTATAGAAAGCATTACAGGGGTTAACGCGGCTCGCTAAGGAAGATATTAATAGAATTCTGCATTTGGGGGGAGACCCTAACAGTCATCTACCATTACCTTCTATGCTGTTACTATTTTTTTATTTTTTTTTACATAATTAAAAGTGACCTTTCCCCATCTGGCATGGTGGTGTGCCTCGAGATTTTTTTCATGACACAAGTGTGCCTTTGCCCAAAAAAGGTTGGGAAACACTGCCTTAGATGATGATCACAGGGTCTGGGTTGGTTCATATGGGGAGAAGTGGTCCGTGAGATATTTTGCGTGCCATGCCACTGGACCCCACAATCTTTGGCCCAAGGCAACATCTCTGCTGTGATGACTAGTGATTTTCCAGGACTGTCCTAGGACTTGGGGGACAGGTGGAGCCTATGCAGCAGTGGTCCGCAAGCTGCATTCAGGTTGTGCACTGCATGTCTGAATTCTTACAAATTGAATTCTATGGAAGTGAAATTGTAATACAATAAAAATACAATATAAGAAATAAGAAAGAAATAAGAAAAGCAATAGAATGCAATTTAAAATCTAGCACAGTGCATTGTGATTTCTACAACAGGCAGAAAAATCATTAAGTGGTCTGCCAAGACTCAGCAATTTTCAAGTGGTCCATGGAAAAAATATATTTGGGGATCACTGGTGAAGGCAATAGTAACTAGATGGACCAACGGATAATTCAAGAAACAATAATGACTTTTTTGTATTTTCACACAGTTTTGTGTGTGTGTGTGTGTGTGCGCGCGCACACACACACACACATTTGTGTGTGTTCAAAGAAGTTCACTTAAGCATTCAACTTATATTTAGCCATTCTTCTTCTTGGAAAATACTTTCTTTGGCTGTTAGGAAAATGATGAGAGCTCTAAACTCGTGGAGAGAATCCAATTTCTCCATCAACCCCTTTCAAAGCAGTTCCTCTTTGGTAGCCTTATTCCACTCTAATGGCAGAGCAGTAAGCAAGAGAAGTACTGCCAAGTGGTTCATGTTACTCTACATTTTATTGCAGTTTATGTTAACTGTGAATTCCTTGACAAAAAAAGTAGAAAATCTTTCAAGAAGCTAAGGAAAAATCTCCTAATATGGGAACAGGTGAAGCAAGCTCCGAAAACCTTATTTAGAAAACACTGGCAATAGCAACTAATTTCAGCTGCTTCATTTCACTATATTTAAAGTGTGTGTGTGTGTGTGTGTGTGCGCGCGCACACACACACACACACACACACACACAGTATTAATCTTTGATGCCAGAGAATATTGATGCTCTTGTTACCAGCATTTACAAAAAAATGGTTGTGGATATCCTCCTTCTTTTTGGTTACTAATAGCCTGGCGCTAAAATGTGCTGTGACAGCTCATGAATGAGTAGAAATGGCTGTAGGATTGCTGTGCCTGCGCACACACACTGTACAGGACTACAAAGCATGGAATCGTATGCTGGAACAGTATTGTATGGTGCATTCCTATGCATGGCTTTGGAAAAGGCCCACTGAATTAGGGGTGCTCAAGGATTTCAAGCAGTTTGCTTTTTTAAGTGAATTGGCCTGATTTGTGCTTCCCAGACTAACATGCTAATTAGAACACTGTTATCTTTCAGTTTGTGCACTTGCGTGTTGAGGTCCCCAAGCCACCCCCCCCCAAATAACTCACAACGCACACTTAATTTTTGTCTAAGGTTTTTGGCATAATTTTGGCCACAACTTTATTTAAATACAAAACCGTGAGTGGTTGTTTAGGCATTGGTTAAGACTATCTGTCCCCCCGCCTGGGGACAGAACTGACTTCCGGGCACCACCGAAAGACAGTGCGGGAAAACAAGTCGGGGAGAAATGGAGCTGAGTCACAGACCCTCATTTCTCATCCGCATGCTCCCCGAAGGCTTGCCGGCCCTAGTCCCATTCCAGGGATTGGACGAAAAGATGGCAAGCCCCAGGATTCCTTTAACGGAATTCCCTTTCTGCAGCAACCATGGAGGGGCAGGCCCAGCCTATCCTAACCCCTCCTCCACCAATTTATAACCAATGCCTAAGCGCAACCTTACAAGTTGTGATGATTTGCTACGCAGTAGGCAAAAACCAAATGGCCCAGCCAATCAGCCAGATGGACAAAATTCCTACCAGGCCCCTGCCCCAACGGCAGACGACCCCATGACAGGCATAGCAAGGTCAATGCAACAACCCTTTACTCAAGGGCGGGTGGGCGGGTGATCCGTTGCACGCAGCAAAGAGAAAGCTTCAGGCTGCGTGCAGAGTATTTAAACATTTTACCCCTCCCACCAAAATTGCAACATAACTTTTACCCCAGCAACCCAGTGAACCAATCACTGCCCCAGGCCATCTTTAGAGACCCTGCCTGGTAACAGAGGGGTGGCTCAGCAGACCCCACCGCAACACGTGCTCTCCATGAAGGAGAACACGCTTTCTCCAAATTTTCCAACACAGCTTTTGCCTCAAAGAAATGCATATACAATGCATATCTTAGGTTAAAATATACAGACTCACAAATGTGTATTTTAGGACAAAATGCATATAAAAATGCATATTTTGTGAGAAGTAATGCAAATTCTTTCCCCCCTTTTCTTTTTAATCTGCAGAGTGACATGGAAATGCAACAGAAAAGATTTGTGAATTAGCTCATGAAAAACAACAACTGACATGGGTTGAATATAGATTGATTGATTGATTGATTGATTGATAGATCCATCCATCCATCTGTACACTGAATTCTACAGGTAACAGATTGCAGCTTAAGTGTTGCAGGCTAATATAATAGTGCAAATGTTTATGAGCAGCACATGCAGAATTTTCTTCCTCTTGTTCTCGAATAAAGTTTTTATTATTATTATTCAGTGCAATAATATGTTCATGTTTACTGAGCATTTACATTTGTAAGAGAGACTGTGGACTTCCCTTCCTCCACACTTTCTGGAGCAAGCAGCAGTCCATGGAAAACCATAATTGCCATTTGTTGTGCTTCAGCTTTAAAGAGCAGGTTTTTACGGTGAAAGCTCCAAGGAAAAAAATTGATCCCTGGGACATGGAGCTTTAAAGTGTGAACCTGTGCCTGGAAAGAACAGGGTGAAATCTAAGTGTGGATAAGCCTTGTGTCTGAGGGTCAAACGAAACAAAATAAATGAGATTTGCAGTTACCTAACTGTTTACATTCATGTTTCACCTTTTGTCCAGGGAGTCCACAATATTGTACAAAATTCCTCCCCCTCTTGTGAGGAAGGTTCACCTGCCAGGGTGTGTGACATAAAATTACCCAAAGGGCTTCGTGGCTCAATGGAGATTTGAACCCTGCTCTCCCCAGTCGTTGGCCAGTGCTCTAACCACTATAACATATTGCCTCTCTGGGTCATTAAACGTTTATTGCCACCCCTGCGTTTGGCAGCGGGAGCATTTGCACTTGCTTTAGCAGAGTAAATGTTAGGCCATAAATTCACATTCTGTTTTGCGTGCTACCACTGAGCAAAGAGTATTGTATGTGAGCAAAGCACCCCTCCTAAGAACAGCATCTTTTAGCAAATGTTTTTTTTTAAATAAAAAAATCTTTTCCTCTGCATCCTATGGAAGAAGACAATAACACCATTCTAGGCCCCGAGCCAAGCACACTCCCAATAAGAGCTGTGTGTTAACTGCAAGGGGTTGTTGACAGCTCCCTTCATGCTTAATTGCCCCCCCTCTCCTTTGCAACACCCCAGGAGTCAATGACTGCCGGGGGAGGGAGAGCCTCATTCATTTGTGGACTCCATCCATGTGGAGTTGCACAAGCAAACCCACACAGAACCAGTGATCATGGCAGGCTAGGCCCCGGAGTGATATAAAAGGCAGTCTTTATCCAAACAGACTGCCTGCATTTTGGAAATTTCCACCCCATTTCCTCGTGGACTGTTATTTGGAACAAAACATCAAGTGCTGGCGTTGGCAGCAGGATCAGTCATAGTAGCTCAAGCAAAAGTGTGACCATAAACCCGTCCAAGTGGAAGAAGTAGAGCACGCTGTTGCTATATCCACTTGGGTGTTTTTCCTTCATGTGTTCAGGCTTTTAGTATCTGTTTTCCACCCATTTCTCCCACCCCTGAGATCAGCTTTTGCCAGGCAAAAGTTTTAACACGGTGAAGCTTGGAGGCAGGGAGAAGGTAATTTTGGTGCTTACTTGAAGTCAGGGAGAGCTTTCACCCATAATATGTTGGTACCTCTAATTTAGAGTTTGGCTAGACATTTTAGAAATAGTATAGAAGTGAAATTTCTGCCCTCGGAGGCCTCCCCCCCCCCAATAAAAACACAGAACGAAGCTCAGTGCAGCATACATTGCTATTAGCATATTAGCAGGAGAAGCTTCCCTCTTTCTTCTAATACATTTTCAGTAATTGTTGCAGAGTACAATCATATGATTCCTTTAATATTCTTTTAAAAAACATTGCTATCTTATTCATAAGGCATCTTGGGTGCTTTTGGTATTTGAAACAGGAACCCTTAAAATATTAGGTAAAATCATTATGATCAGATTAGTCAAAGACTGAACTCAGCAAAATGCATGATGGTCATCATGATCATTTATATTCTTAACAACAATAACAACAGTAGCACTGTCATCAGAGGCGGCTGATGATCATTGGGACTGATAGGGCAGAAGGCAAGGGAGACCAACATGTGGAACCACAGCCAATGAGAGGCAGGAGGCTCATCCAGGCATCCATTTGCTCTGTCACCTCCTCCTGGGAAAACCTGTGGTTTAGTGCTGAATCGGAACAAACAGCAATTGGGTTTTCTGTGAATTGCCATTTGTTCTGATTTAGCCCTAAAGAGCGGGTTTTCCGAGGAAAAACATCGGGGCAAAGGTAAAATTGCTTGCAGCCATGCTTAGAAAGCATAGGGCAAGCAGAAAACTGTTCAGACCCATGCTTTCCAGGCATGGGACAAGTGGAGGTGCAGACAAACCCAGAGCCAACTAATTCTAGTTTTGCCCCATACTTCTCCCTGCTGAGTCCTAGGGCAACATTGCAACCAAGGAGGAGGAACTTGGCAGGCAGTTCCACTCTTTCGACTGGTCATAAATAAAAAGGGAGGCAGCCAGGGGCTGGCTGAGGGCAAACTGAAATTGGTGGGGCAGCACCTTAATGAACCAGCCTGCACTGACTTCAGACAGTTCTAAATACAGTACACTTACTTGATAGCAAGTTCCGATCACCTGAGGGTCTGAACAAAGCAATGGACTTCAGAACTCTTTGCACATGTGGAAAACTTGCAAAAGGCAGAGTCCCTGGACCCCACCAACTGGGTGTAGATGCACAAAGCTTGTATATGCACAGGCTTTGCTTAGAACTTTGAATGAATGCATGGAGGTCAGGAGCAAGGAGTATTGGCACTGCCCTGCTTCTCCTCTCTGCACATTTGCAGCACAAGGCTTTATTTGTTATGATAAGATCATGTGTAAATTTCTCTCGTGGCCCATAGTCAACAGATCTGTAATGCTGGCATCACGGCTGAAACCAATACCCAACAAAATCAGCAACCCGTAAGCGGGCTGTTGGTTGTTTAAAGGGTCCATTGAGTTAGATACTGAGCCCAATTGTGATTCCCAAATCACCATTCTTGCTGCTCAGAAAACCAATGGATGGGTGTGATGCAGAGGGCTCTCTTGCTGTGGAAGGAGCACCCTGTCTGGAAGGGATCTCTTGTCACAAAAATCTAGACCTAGTCCCAGTGCATGCACATAGATGAAGTCCACATTGTAGTCAGCCAAGAGCTGTTAAAAGGAGAGAGGGAGAGGCAGAGAGCTGTCATTCTTCATGTCACTGCCCACACTCCTGGTTTTCAGCTGCAAGAGCCATAACAAGTGCTTTCTATCCTCAAGGAGACCTCAGAAAATTATAACATTTTGTTTTGACTCTCTGTTTTAAAGCAGTTGCATCGTTCCTGTCCCTTCTTCTGAGCTAGGGCCTGAGGCATGCTGGGAAGTTAGGATAGAAATGCGCCTGAAGAAGCTGGGATGAAGGTGAATCAAACGGAAAGCTTTATCACAGGGCTGAGGAACCTGTGGCCCCGCAGATGCTGTTAGATGCCAACTCTCACCAATCCTAGGCAACATAGCCAGTGGTCAAGGGTGATGGGAGTTGCAGCCACAGGTGGACCACAGAGTCCCCAGTCCTGCTTTACCAGACCTACATTGTGATGGTGATGGAAACATTTTTCTCCTCCGCCATTGTATCTTCTCATTGTTGTCCAGCAAAGCTTTTCCCCCAAACAATTTTGTCCAAAAGGGGATTTGGTAGAATCCTCAAAATCACACTGGGGTGTGTTCGCAAGACACTTTGAGAGACAAGTCGCTCTCATCTGCAGAGAGGCTTGCCTGCCCCTTCTCTTTGGCTGGCTGTCTAAGATCTTATTATTCACCGAGAGCTTTAAATCCAGGCTGCAAAGTGTTTAGGGAAAGAGCTGCAAGGAAAAGGGTTTTAAGCAAAGTAGCCTCTTGTGTGGGAAAGTGCTTGTGCTTCTTTTGCTCTTTCTTATTTTGGGGGGTATATTTTAATTACAGTGGTACCTTGGGTTAAGTACTTAATTCGTTCCGAAGGTCCGTACTTAACCTGAAACTGTTCTTAACCTGAAGCACCACTTTAGCTAATGGGGCCTCCTGCTGCTGCCACACTGCCGGAGCACAATTTCTGTTCTCATCCTGAAGCAAAGTTCTTAACCTGAAGCACTATTTCTGGGTTAGCGGAGTCTGTAACCTGAAGCGTATGTAACCTGAAGCGTATGTAAGCTGAGGTACCACTGTATCATACATTGTAATTTGAATTGCTCTTCAGCTGTCCCAGGGATTTTTATTGATTGGGGGTGGGGGTGCTATATAATAAATAAATAAATAAATAAATAAATAAATAAATAAATAAATAAATAAGGGTGGCTATATTCATTTTCAATAAAAGAAGAAAGAAGAGGGTACCCAGGTAATAATTATTCAGCATGTCTCTGAAGGATGCAGTGTCTGTATTCAGCAACAGCTATGCATTTACTGGCTTGCTGCTCCCATGCCCCCTGCAGTGACCTTATGATGCCCCTCACAGTAATAGTAAACTGCATTCAATTCTTTGATTATAGAAATGACATTTTCTGGCTTGAGAGAGGCTCGTGACAGAGATGCAACTTAAGCCAAACACTCATTTGGCTTTGCTACAGGAGACTGCCGGAATGTAAACTCCCCTCCTTCTTTTCAATGGTTTCAGCTCCTGAGTTAAAAGCTTGGGTTTTTTGGAGTAATCTGGGAGGGCTATATTTGGCCAAAAATGCCACTGACTCCCATTACTTAGTTGGCACAAGCCAAACAATGTTCCTTTATCAACAAAACCAATAGTCTGTTTTATTTGCAGTGCACAGAGAAGTAGCTTCGTCCAACAGATCCCACTTTCCCTCCCTTGCAACATGTCTGTGACCAGTTAATGAGCTGCAACAGGGCCTGGGCTTTATTTTCAGCCAATTAAGCTTATCCCTCTCAGGAATTGTGGTCTGGCTGTGGCAGAAGTCCTAGGTACGGGCAGGACTTGTTTCTTTGACCAGTTGTGGGTTAGCCACATGGGTACGTGCTGTTGCACCACACAGCAGACGTTTTCTCTGTAATAACTCCTCCAAGTGCTCCACAAAAGCAGATCCCTTTTTAATTTACTTCATGTTTACAGCGTTCTCTTTCAAACTGAACTGCTGGCACAGGCGGATATTTATACAACCTTTG